CCTCCTCCCCCTCCTCCTCCTCCTCCCTTTAAAAATGTAATAAATATTGCTTGACGGTTGTGCAAAAATGGACCACGGGCCACTTTTGGCCCCTGAACTGGTAGTTTGCCTACCCTTGTTATGGACCCTTCCTGAATATTCAAAATGTATACTAGTGTGTTAAAATCTTTAAAAAGATATGTAGGATAAAACTGTGCTTGCTATGGTTTAACGAGATTTATCTCAAATTTATTTCACCATGGAACTCTTTTTTTCTGCTACCCACTTAACATCTTACATAATTAGTCTCCTATGAGAAATACTTCGGGAAATTCTGGCCTTTTTCACATAATGAGAATAATAAAGTTTATTGCTACCTCACTCACCCCATATGCAAAATAACATTCCAGATTGCTTAAAAATATAAATAGAAAAGTGTCAGATACTACCTCTGTCACACTGGAGTACAGATAGATTCCCAGGAGAGACTTCAAAAGTACTAAGCATAAGGCAAAAATAATGGAATAGACTACATCAAAATTAAGGATTTCTGTTCAACAAACAGCACAATAGAAAACCTTAACTGAGCATAAGATTGGGGAAAGATATTTGCAATGTCAAAAATCATAAAAGGTTAGCATTTCAAGGAGCTCTTGTTAATTAATAAGAAAAAAACTGGGATCCCAATATTAAAAAATGGGCAAACCATATGAATGAACAATGTTTAGGAGGGAGGATCAGAATGGTTAACTTGTATATGAATAAGATGTTCAACCTCATTAATAATGAGAGGACTGCAAAATGAAAGGATAAAATACCCCTTTATACTAAACCTAGGTTGGATAATAGTGTTGGCAAGGATGTGGGAAAACATTTTTTTTTCATGCACTCCTAGTGGAGACATAAGATCACAGCAACCATTCTGGAGAAAAAAAAAAAAAAAAAATGGCAGAACTCAGTGAAATTCAGTATGTGCATACTCACTCTTGGGTGCAAACCCAGAGAAAAGTATCCATAGATCCAAGGGTAACAAAAGCAAAGCTCATCACAGAATTTTATTTTGTGGTAAGAGGATGGGAGACAAACTAGCTGCCCATCACTAGGGGAATGGATAAATAAAACATGGTAGAAACTCATTTTGGAATACTATACAGCAGTCAGAACCAATAAACTGGAGGTAAATAAAGCAACATGAATAGAGCTTTCAAAATCAGTGTTAAGTGAAAAAAGTAAACAGCGAGATCTATACGATGATGTAAATTGTATAAACTTAAAACATAAACATTAAAAATATATAAATATATATTCATATATTTATAATGTATATAAAATATATTCTCTTCTTGGCCATTAAGCACATGAAAAGATGCTCAGCATCACTAATCATGGGGCTTTCCTGGTAGTCCAGTGGTTAAGAGTCCGCCTTCCAGTGCAGGGGACGTGGGTTTGATCCCTGGTCGGGGAACTGGGATCCCTCATGCTGCGGGGCAACTAAGCCTGAGCGCCACAACTAGAGAGAAGCCTGTGCTCCACAATGGAGAGCCCACACACCACAATGAAAGATCCCACATGCTGCAACTAAGATCCCACATGACACAACTGGGGCCCCACAAAGCCCAATGAATAAATGACTAAATAAATAAATATTTTAAAAATGCTAATCATTAGGGGAATGCAAATCAAAACCACAATGAGATACCACTTCATACCCATTAGGATGGGTCTTATTAAAAAACAAAACAAAACACAAAATAAGAAATGGTGAGGATGTGAAGAAATTGGAACACTTGTGCCTTGCTGGTGATGAGAGTGTATAATAGTATAGCCATTGTAGATAGCAGTATGTAGGGTCCTCAAAATATTAAACATAGGGCTTCCCTGGTGGCGCAGTGGGTGAGAGTCCGCCTGCCGATGCAGGGAACACAGGTTCGTGCCCCGGTCCAAGAAGATCCCACATGCCGCGAAGCGGCTGGGCCCGTGAGCCATGGCCGCTGAGCCTGCGCGTCCGGAGCCTGTGCTCCGCAACGGGAGAGGCTACAACAGTGAGAGGCCCGCGTACCGCAAAAAAAAAAAAATTAAACATAGATTTACCATATCATCCATCAATTCCACTTCTGGGCATACACTCAAAAGAATTGAAAGCTGAGACTCAAACAGATATTTGTACACCAATGTTTACAGCAGCCTTATTCACAATAGCCAGAAGGTGAAAACACCCAAGTGTCCATCATGGATGAATGAATAAACAGAATGTATATGCATGCAATGGAAAATATTCAGCCTTTAAAAGGAAGAAAAATTTGACACATGGTACAACATGGATGAACCTTGAAGACATTATGCTAAGTAAAATAAGCCAGACACAAAAGGACAGATATTGTATGATTCTACTTACATGAGGTACCTAACTTAGTGAAATTCATAGAGAAAGGAAGCAGCATGGTGGTTGCCAGGGGCTGGGAGGAGAAGCAATGGGAAGTTATTGTTTAACAGGTATGGAGTTTCAGTTTGTGAAGATGAAAAGAATTCTGGATGGTGGTGATGGTTACAAAATGTGAATATACTTAACACCACTGAACTGTATACTTAAAAACGGTTAAAATGGTAAATTTTATATTATGTATATTTACCACACAAAAAAGATCTCTTCTTAATATGCCCAAAGCAGGTTGTTTTCTACTGAATACTGATCAATAGATCAGTGTGGGGAAAAAGGACATAAGATCATCTTAATTTTTCTCTTTGACAGAGGATGAATCTTGGGAAAAGTAGAATAGTAAGCGGCATTCAATCGATATACCTAAGACTTTAACATCAATTGCCAAGAGTTGAATTGATTGCACTTTTCTGTTCATGATACAGTAATAGCATCATGCCAAGTCATCTGTAATTTTATCTTATTATTCTTTTTTCCCCTTCATCCCTGATACCCCACCTCTGTTTTGTTTTGTTTTTTATAATAACCATCCCAATGGGCATGAAGTGGTATCTTGCTGTGGTTTTGATTTGCATCTCCCTGATGATTAGTGATGTTGAGCATCTTTTTATGGGTTTATTGGCCAAGAAGAGAACATTTTAAATTACACAGTAAGTTAAGAAACTCATTGTATATGTATCTCTGGATAGCTTCTTCCATGAAGTCTTGAACACTGACACATTGACTTGTAGTCTTTGTTACAGGATAAAACAAAAGAAAGAGGGAAAAAAAAACCCACCCTGAAACCTTTAAGGATGCCTGGAATTGTCAGCCAGTTAATCAGTATTCACAATCATTCTTCTGAGCAGGAACTAATGCTTTTCCAGTGTCTTAATCAAGGCAGATTAACTGCAGTAATGACCTCAAAATCTTAGTGGCTTAACACAATAGATGTTTTTACTGTTCATATCACACTCCAATAAGTGCCAGCAGGGAGCTCTGTTCCACACAATCATTCAGGGACCCAGGCTCCTTTGAGTTAGTGGTTCTGCCATCTTAGGAGAGCTCTGAAGTTCATCACTGGATCCTCTGCAATTAGCCTGCTGTTAAAAGACTGCACAGCAGAAGTACCCCAACTCTTAACTGCCTGGTCAGGGGGGTGACACCATCACTTTCTTCAAATGCAACTAGTCATACAGCCCCATGTAGATGCAAAGGGGCTTAGAAATGTAGCCAAGGAAGAAGAGGATATGAATTTTAGTGAAAAGTTACCCAGGTTTTGCCACAGCTAACAAGAGATTAGAGGAAATTTTTAGGTTTGAGAAGGTTTTGGGGTTTTTTTTGGCAGCTTGTGAGATCTTAGTTCCCCATCCAGGGATCAGAACCCGGGGCCCTCGACAGTGAGAGCACAGAGTCCTAACCACTGGACCACCAGGGAATTCCCAAGAAGAATTTTTTAAAATACAGATTTCCTTTACCATCTTCAAGTTATTTTTAAAATTGTAAATCATTTACGGGTTATAATTTAAAAATTCTGAACCAAAATATATGGTTTTCCCAAAGAATACATTCTTCTAAGTACCTGGAGTGATAATTTTGTTAGCATGGTTCCTGAACTGTTTATGTTCCATACGTAAACACGAGCTCCCTGTGAAAAAGCAGTTCATTTGGGGGTGTCCTGTAACACAGGGGAGAGTATCTTGAGTGTGGAAATAATGTGGATCGATTTTCCCACATGGAGAAGTAGGATGAAGCTGATGCACCTAAGACTTCATCATTCATTCCATATTTGCATATTCTGTATCAATTCCAAGTGAGATCGCAAACTATAACCTGCCTATGACAGGACTCTAAAGCCAGAATAAATTCCCTATGGCAAAATAATCAAGGCAAAAAACATAAAGAAGACAAATGCACACATGTGGAACTCAGCAAAATGGGCTGAATTCAAGCTTTTCAGCACACACTCTGCAAAACATAAACACAGAGCAACCACAGGCAGGCTATAAAGTGTGCTGAGTTAAACGACGGAGTGATAAGACATGACCTGGAAAATGTGAGCTGGCGGGGTTGTCTGAGATTGATTAGTTCTCTGCCCTAATGCTCAGGTAATAGGATGCCTTTCAGCTCCATTCTGCCTATTTCAGTCCAGATTTGTTTTCCCTGCTGCCTTAAAAATCAGAAGACATCCTGTCACTTTCACCCTGCAATCATACGGAAGCTAGCTTTCCTTGTATTACTTCAAAATACGCAAATGCAGTTCTTTCTCCTCCACAACACAAAATGCAGTTCACGTTAATCTAATGGCATCGACACACCATCTCACAAAGCTCTTCCTGAGAGACCGATTCCAAAACAAAGCAGAATGTCAAGAACTGGACAGGAGGATGAGGTAAAAAGACAACAATCTAATAGATGCAAAGCGAGAAACCATAAGCAAGCTGCAAAGTTGGAGAGAGAGATGTGAAACTGAATCAGTCTCTGTACTACAGACTTCATAGGGAAACTGAAAAGCAAACAGTCATTCCAAACCCACAAAGTGGAAGCATGATGAGGTACGTCAATGGGAAAGAAGAGAACCAGGTTTGGGGAGTGGCTGGAAAGCCAACCAGACAAATCATACCGAATTTCCCCAACCCTGCTGTTTCCTGTGTGTACACCCTTGAATAGTTTTTTAATGTCATACCATCTCCACAGCCTTCTTCATACTAATTTACCATTTGTATATTAGTCACCAACTCTGATGATCTTAAGCCAAAGGCATTTGTTGGAAGGACATAAGGGCTCAGAGAATCAACAGGAGGCATTGAACCATTAAAATCAGCAGGAACCGAGGGAACCCAGAGGACCAGGTGCAAGAAGAGCCACAGCCATGCAGCGTGGTGGGGTGATTGGCCACTGCCCCGGTCCTGGTGATGACAGCCCATTTCTCATGTCCTTTCAACACTTGTTCAAGATTCCAATTCCTGAGACAGTGAGCCTGATTGGTTGAGCCCATGTTATGTGCCATCCCCCAGGGAAAGGGAGGATGGGTTCCTTTCAGGTTCCTTAGAGGAAGGGATGTGTTCTCTATGCCATCAGAATGACACCCGCGAGGGAAGGACAATTCCCTCCAATGAAATCAGGATGCTATGGAAGGGCATTAATGTTGGACAGTCAAAAGCAACAAATGACCATTTTCTACACATCTTCTTGTGGCTCAAAATCCATGACTGACTGAAAGTGAGGGAGGCTATGCATGTGTGAGCTATATGGGAAACCTCTGTACCTTCTGCTCAATATTGCTATGAACCTGAACTACTCTACAAAATAAAATCTATTAAAAAAATGTTTTAACCCATGACTGATCCTTTTGATATTAAAATTCTCACAACTCTACTTTCCATGGTACCTCACAAACCCCCACTTACCTTGCTTCACCTCTTAATCCACATCTTTTGAAAGGGTATTAATCTTGGGCCGAATCAACAATGATTTGAGATTTTTAAAAACTATTTTAAAAATTAATTTCATACTCTGCAAAATATTTAATGAATGTGAAGTGTGAAGATACAGTCTATTACCATCCCTGTAAATCAAGTCCAAATGAGACATTACCTTTCCAGGCATTAAATAGGCTCCCCAGTTTAGTACATTGGGTTTCCAGTAGACATCTGGGATAAATAAGAGTGTGTGTGTGTGTGTGTGTGTGTGTGTGTGTGTGTGTGTTTTCTTAAGCTGCTGGTTTAAAGAGTCAACAAAACAGCATGTTCTCCACAAAAATGCTGTTAAGATGCACATATTTCTCCAGTAAAACACACATGCCATTCAACAGGCATCAGATATTTACCAAGTGAGTCCTTGCTTCACTATTGCTCCACTGCCCATCAGGGAAGGCTTCAAGCTCAGCCTTCATTTCTGGCTCTTCTGTACCAGCCAAACCTCCTTCCCAGAAGCTCCCACCTCCCACCACCCCCGAAGAGGTTCATCTACACAGCGCCTGCTGTGGCTAATGAAATCGTGGTGTCACACATATGGCACACCAAGTGACTTGGTGCTTGGACCAAAGTTAACATTTGGTAAACAAGCCAGCTGCCTTAAATTCCCCTTGAATCACTTTTCCTGTTACACAACCATTCAGTAAAGGAAATGCAGTCCACGCAGATGAGTGGTGAAAAGAGGGCATGTCTCTGCAGCCTGCAGAAGGGGAGTGAGACTCCTTCTCCCTTCGTTCTGGGCCACAGGCCTGCAGATGCAGACCCTCTCCAGGGCCCTGCTGTAGAATGGCTTCTCTCTCTCTCTCTCTCTCTCTCTCTCCTGGAGACAGAAACTTTTAGCAGCTTACACTAGCTGTCTGGGGTGTATTATGTAATGTTCACTCCATACTACCTGCAGTGAGTCCCCAGGTCACACTGCACTTGTCTAGAACAGAGAAATTCTTAACAAAGACGCACAGAGTGGCTGAAGGAAGAGGAAGCAGTTGATAACTTTCCTTCCATCACTCTGAGCTCCATCACTAACTTATCTTCTGTGTTATTTTTGGAAGTGATTTCCTCCCTTGCTTGTTGGTCTCTGGTTACTTACCTTACTCTAGCATATTTCATAAAGAAGATCAGCCTCTTTTTTATACCTTATTTGTCTTCCTTAGAATCACAGCACAGTATTCACATACCACGTACCACGGGACTAATAAAAAAATATAACAAACAATACTCTCTTCCTCTTACAAGCTCAATAAATACTTGCTGAAAAACAGCCAAACCCCATCCAAAAAGAAAAGAAAATGTCAGTTACGCAATGACTCCTGTTTATGACCAATACAAGGGCATTCATTCATTCACTCATTACATTTATTGAGCGCCTCCCATGGCCAAGCACCAGGCCAGGCACAGGGGAGATGATAGTAAGCAAAACAAGCCATTGTCCTTGCTTCCATGGAGCAACAGATATTGATCAAATAATTACACAGATGTGCAAACTGCAGTGGTGACCAATGTTAGGAAAAGACACAAAATGCTATAAAAATCTACACTGATGGGACTTGATTAGCTAGACAGGTCAGGAATGCCTTCTCTGCAGAAATGGTGCTTGAGCTGAGATCAGAAAGATGAGTGGAAGTTATGTAGCTGAGGAGAGCAGAAAAGAGCATCCCAGGCTAACAGAAGAGCTTTGGGGTAGGAGGGGTGGCGAATACAAAGAGCTGGAAAGGTATTGTGTCTGTACAGAGGGAGTGAGGGGAAGCAGGGCAGGACCGGAGCCTGAAAACCCAGCCAAGGACCACACTTGAGGAGTTTGCCTTATCAAAAGAACCATGAGAAATCACTGAAAGGTTTCTTTGGCCCTGGAACGAGCAGACGAGGGCTGGGCTTGCAGATGGGGACCATGAAACCCGTGGGTACCAATCAGTTTCCCTCACAAGCTCTTTGAAGCATCGTGGCGCATATAAGAACAACATGGACAAAGGACACCTCCGGGGTCCCCCCCTCTGCTTCTTATGCATCTTAGGGTGTCAGCTGTGGCCAGCAGCCTATCAGAGAGGCCAATTCTTTAAGCGTGAAAGGCCCTGAACTATGGGGTTTCCGGTATTTATTTGCCCCCCTATGTAAGGCAACAATTCTGCCCACTCAGAAGTCCACAGTACCCTGCCTGAATTCCCAGGCTTGAGTGATGAAATTCTTGCTGGACTATATTTTAAACTTTTCTGCATCTTTGTTGCAGAACCTGGGAATTCTCTGTATCCATTTAGGGGCTTTCCATTGGCAAGGCCTTGCTGTTGTTTGGCCACGAGGGTTTCGAAAGATGGTTAGTAATACAGAGGTTTTTGTTCTGGAAGTATAGCTCTGGCTCCAGTGTATGGATCAGTTACAGGAAGTCCACAGTGCGGGGGGTGAGAGCAGTGGGCGCTGGTGCCTTGCACCAGCGTGGAGACGACAAAGGAGGGGAAGTGAACAGAGTTAAGGGATATTTAAAAGATAAGTGTCAACAAGCTCAGTGGGTGATGTGGGGATGAGATTCTAGTTTATGAATCACACAACTAGATGGAATCCCAAATTCATTAAAAACTTATAATAGGAGGACTCTGTATTTACAGTTCTGCATGTAAGGAGCTTGGGAGTTCCCACTCTGTCCTAACCAAAAATAACAAGCTGAACAGAATGAACAATTAACAACTCTTCTTGGATCCTTGTGAGAGAGGGGGACACAGGGCGAACTACTGCCCCAAGATTAGAGAGACAGACAGGAGAATACAGGGAGTTCAGCTTCTAGGACCAGAAACTCATGAACAGAAACCGATAGAAGCCAGTGGTGGGGTAGGAAAATCTGAACTGTAATGGGTGAGTTGCTGGAGGCTTAGCGGGAACAACTCCAAGAGTTAAAAACTGCAGGCTGAGCCCCAAATATTGTGAGATTTACCTCCAGGAGCTTGATCAGGTTCCCACAGTAAATATCAGAGAAAAAACAATCCCCTTGTGCTTCCAGCAGAAAGAGGAGGAAAGGAACCGCTGTGAAATATGCCAGAGCACTCTGTTCTCAACAAAACCTGCCCTCAGGGGCAGCTGGTTAACCACACCTAACCTGCTGGGGTATTGTCAGAACCTAACTGACCTGGGGGAGGGGAAATACCCAACTCCAGACAGCTCTAGCCATCCTGCCCCACCAAAGGTGGAAGAAGAAAACCGAGAAACACGTGTGAAGTTCACAGTTCAGAGATACAGGCACTAAACTCTGAGACCTAATCAGAGGGTTGTAGAGCATCCCACCCCACCTCACCCACACACACACC